AGGACAAATGGCATGAGCAGCAGCTTATAGGACTGAGCCAATAATGTCTGGAAAGTAAAGGAAGTGGCACATACTAAAGTTTTATAGTTGTTTTGTATCATTAAATCCTGACTCCTTAGTGTGACCAGTTTGGAGAGAAATGAGCTGTCACTTTATAAAGAGTGTTTGGGGTTTTGTTTGAAAGATGTGCTTTGTCAGGATTTCCACCCTTAGGCCCCAACCAAACCCAAGGGTGTTTGGGATGGGAGCCATGGTTATATCATCACCTAGTGAATTAAGGAAAAATAAATTTACCTGTACTGATCTTTTATTTGATATCATTAAGCTCTATTTTACATTCTCCAAATGCAAATGTGTAGGGTCATATCTTGAATAATTCAGTGCATATTTAGCAACCACCACAACAAAGAATCAGCTGACTAGGAAAAGGAGAAGCACTTAAAAATAATTAACTGTTCTGAAAAATAGAAAATGGTGCAATGTCCATCAGCTGAAAATTCATTTTGACTGGTAAAGGGGAAAAAAGAATAAAATGTTCAACACTGAATATTGTAACAGCTGGTCCCTCATTAAATTACTCATCTAATTCCAAATCATCTTTACATGCAGTATTTCATTTGCTAGCCACAGAACAGAACAAAATTCAAATGATTTTTAGCCACTTCAAAACGCTGTCCTTTGGATGCATGAATTGCTATCCATAAAGAAGCAAGATTCTATTCCTATTCATGTCTTACTAAATTGAATTATTTAAAATAAATAATTAGCCTACTTATTTGTTATTGTGTATTCACATTGCAGGGGAAAGCAACAGCTGGATGTCTTGGGACATGCAGCATTTAATCCTATATTAAGAGAAGCAGGCTGGTAAGGATTCCAAATAAAAAGTGTTGAATGTGGGCTCAGCCTCAGGCTGATGGACGACCCTCTGATCTGGGGACTGCCACTCTGACACCTCAGAGTCAAGCTGAGGTGCGTCCATGTCACTGGGCAACACAGAGGGTGTCAAAGGCTCAACTCGAGGTTATTGCCACGTTTTTCACATGCACCAACTCACTCTGCAGTGGAAGGGAGGAACATGGAGTGGTGCTGCAGTTCTTCCTCATGCTCAGGCAATTAAGAAAATAATGGAACTTGTACATGCAAATATCCAGGTATTTTTTTAATACACATGTCAGGCCACATGCTTTTTATGTGATTCATAGAGCTCCCTCCTCACCCTAAACCCTGTTCTTGCCTATACAAGACTTAGGCATGGAGATAAAATCTGGGCTACATAGAGATAAAAACCTGTGTATGAAAACTCCTTTTTACAAGTTATGCAGCAGGTAAAATACTGTTTTCACTTTGAAATTCATAAGTGAATCCTAATTTCAGCTGATTTCTACAAGGCTGAAATATTTCTCAGGATTCTCATGGTATGAGAGATCCATTACTCCCTTCTTCTGCTGCTCCAAAATTTCATCCCTTCATCTGTTTTTAAAAAAAGCCTTACTTTAACCTTAACCTTGCCTGAAAGACCCATTTACAGATTAATGACCTATTTATTTCTACATTAAAGAGAGAAATCTATCTAAAAACCCAATATGGAAAAACTATCCTGCACCATTTAAAATAAGTCTTCCAGAGCTGGACAAACTCTGACATTATCAATAATGCTGCTGCATAAGGACAGACAGAAACAGCAGGTACATTACACACTGTTATCTAGTGCATTAGAAATGTAAGCAGGAGTAAAAAGTCAGTGCTTGGAAGCAGCTTTTCTTTCCACATTAGTACTCTAGATACAATGAAAATCCTACAAGGATTTGTAAGCAAAAGAAAGAAAACAGATGAACAAGCAAAAAATGTCTACATGTATATTAAAAAAACCCGTGAAGGGATACTTTTAACTTTAAAGCTGAGTATTTAGTAGATAAGCTTGTTTTCTAATGGTTCAGCTGCAGAACATACGTATGGTTATTACCTGATCTTACCAACGCACGTGCAAGTAACTTTACTCCTGTACATAAGCACAGGAATGTAACCATTCCCTACAGAAAGCAAGATTATTAGGTTTCCTTACATCTAATTAAAATCCTAACAATAAGATGTGCAGTCTGTATTCAAGCAGATCCTCCACATCTAAGATTTTGCAAGCTTGCACATCATTTATTTCACCTGACTGCGGGGCTATGAAGGTATGTGAAGTGCTGGACATACCTGCCAACTCGAAATGTCAGGGCACAGAATGACAGGCTATGAGAAGTGGGGCCTGAGCCTGCTCACTTTGAAGCCAGGAATGTATTTACCAAGATTAATGCTGGAGGATCAATGCAACAATGCTTAATGATATAAATGTTCTGGAAAAGAAATGGAAAGGGGAAACAAAGATTGTATAGAAAGGAGTTTGAAAACACTACAGAAGAAAAGTTATGTGCCTGAAAGGATGTTATGCTCTTGTATATAAATTAGGATAAGATTTTTGATAATACTACTCAGTATGTGTTGGCAGTTCCATTTAAGAACAGGTTTAATTTCAAGGTCAGACTTTCATCCTTAACAGGTGCCTATAAGCTACAATATTACAGATAATGCCAAATTCAGAAAGAAAAAAAAAATGCAAGTCTGATTAATACTAAGCCCCAATTCTAGTTAATTTTGCCACAGTATGAAGCTTCAGTGGCAGCAGGTACTCTGTCTTTTATGAGAGCCCTCAGTGATGCCACCACGGGCAGCTCTTGCATGGCCACAGGACACACTGCTTGCCCACAGGAGCCCCAGCATAGCATGGGACAGTACAGGGGGTTCTCCTGAAGATACAGAACAGACCCCAGATGCACTTAACAGTTTAAGAGCTCACTTCAGGGCACACTCACCTGGTGTGTGAATGGGCTTTGGCACTTGATGCACAGTGCGGACATATCCAGCTGTCTTAGTCCAGTGACATCACCTGACTGAACCTGGGCAGAGAAGAAGCCTACAGTCCTTAGAAGGCTACCCAGGCTACCCAGGATAACATAGATGTCAAATGCAGGCTGCAAGGATGCCTGGGCTCTGCAATGCTTATGGGAGAAGCTGGGGTGCACTGGGACACAGCCACTGAAACCAGAGATACTAGTGACAACAGCAAAGGGTCTGAGGAAATTAGTTCTGGTTGTGTGGGTTCGTAATTCAAATCAATAGTAGGGGCTGCTAGTGTCTTTTGAGACAGCAACAGAGATAAGGACATGACAGTAACCTTCATGCTCACTAGGAATAAAGTCCACAAAACCCATATAATGACTATCTAGTTTATGTTTACAACTAATTATAGTAGTTATTATTACTAAAAAGAAATGCTACAAAAGTCTTTGATATTTTAACATAATTTTAAGCCTCTAGGAGTTTCATCTTTGAATAGCCCTAACAAGAGACTAAAAAGTGTTACACTTTTTTATTTTCATATATATTATAAATATATATGCAAATAAAAATAAGTTGGGAGATTGTAGTATTCCTTACACACCCCATTATGTGCAGCCACCATCACGATAAGCCAATTACATATGCTTCTTTATCACAAATTCATGAAAAGGAATCTTTCAAGACATCATGGGCACAGTATATCTCAGAGCTGCTCCTCCTATGTGACTCTTCTATATGCAAAATCCAAGGAGGGGACATGGCTTTTTTGCCTGTGGCATGCATGTTTGCTCAGCCACTTTGTGCCCACACTGCTGATCATCAACCTCTTGATCGCTGCACAACTGAAAACTTTTGTTTTCTTGGGGGAGCTGGAAGCCATTAGAAACTAAATGTACCATCAACATGGTGTTAGAGCTGTGCCTGAAGAGACATGGGATTGCTTCCAGAAACATCTCCTTAAGACCATATGCCTTTTCTCCATTCTATGCCCAGCTTTCATGTCTAATAGGCTGACCTCTTTATAAAATGGCCCTGACCTTTGCTCCTCTTCTGTTCATGGGAAAAGGTAAGACTCTCAAAAGGCTAGTAGTCATAAAAAGTTTACTACACACATTTTGGCTCAAAAAAAAAAGAAAAAAAAAAAAAGATTGCTTACTGGAAAGTTTTGAGGGAATTAATTCTGATAGACATAGTGAAAAATACACACCCAAGTATCAGGGTGATTTTCTGAATGGGCTTGGGAAATACTGCTTGTAAGTAGGACCATGGATTGTTATGATTTGGCTGAGAATCTCTGAAAATGGGAAACGTAACTGAAAATTATTAGAAAAGGTTTTGGTGATACGGACTCTACTGTTCCACTAACTACCACCCATACAGAAGATCATGCTAAATAGAAAACTCATTTCCAAGGGCAGAAGAAGCCCTAACACTTTATTGCTAGTTTCTATAGCAATTGGAGCTCACTTACAGTAACCTTATAGTACTCTATATAAACTGAGAAGCTTCTATCAAATTCAGGCTTCCATTTAAAATAGATATTGCAGATATTAGGCTTCAATTAAAGAAGAAAAATAACCTTCAGTGCTTCTTTTTTTAAAGGCAAAGTATAAAAAAAATCCCCAAACTATTTGAAAATTATTAAATTTCTCCAAAAAATTAAGATGAGCTTTCTTCTATTTCTTGAGACAGTACAGTTTGTGATTCACAGGGTAACTGGTATCAAACACAAGTTAATGAAAGCTCTTATAAGCAATTTTATTCCTATCCATGATGGCAGACATTTACAAAATCAGAAGAATTTATCATTTGAGTTCACCTTAAAAAATAACTTATAAAGCAGTGATATATGCAACATAAAACAGTTCAGGAGGGGAGAGGGAAAGCAAATTTTAATAATTAAAATGTAAACGTGGAAAAAAAAAAATGGAATAAAAGTCCCTACTTCTCAATTCTACTTAAGATGGCATGGGATAATATTTTACAATGTCCTGCGGGCTATATATGTATGTGTGTATTTCTATATCACACACATACATATACATTAACCCACACATGTACATACACAGATAATTGTTTGCAGTTCCATCTTGGGCAGTTCTGTTACGCCACTCTTTACAGTTGTCTCAATCATGTTTGGGACCCACTTTCTTGACAAAACAGGGGAGATGGCAGGAAAAAAAAATGGTGGGTCTGATTGTGTCTGAGATCCTTTTGTTAAACTGTACACTGGGACGAATAATTTTCTTCTGCAGTAGCTCTCTGAAGAGGGCCAACTCACTGTGGTCTTCATGGCGAGACTTGTTAACGGATCACACACTCATTGTCATGCTAGGGGAGTACTGAAAAAAGAGGAATCCACATTTTAACAACCATTCCGTGTCCCCAGTTAAGGAAAACTTCTCTGGACCACAACAATGAGTTCAACACACTCTTTGAGCTTCCTCCTACATTTGTACTGCAGCCTGTACTAAAGCTGTAGTTCAATTTGTGGTATCATAACTTCTGTTACGCTTGTCTCATAATGCAAAAATGCAGCTACTGCTGATAAAGCCAACTCCCTTGAAGACACTTTTGGTGTTACCTGGGTAGTGTGATGAATCAACACTTCACTGATGCTCTCCACACCTTTTCCTGGTCAGTGTTGGCTACTGGGGTGATTTAGCCAGGCAGGTGGCTAGTCTCAAACAGACCAGCTGTGTTCATGGGTAGCTGAACCACATATATATTTTGGGGAGTTTTTTATTATGTTATGGGAGAAAGGAATAAAGATATGTATGACTGGAATTAAACTAGGCTTTTGGTCTGTATTATTGTATGTTATCAGTTTTAGGAAGTAGGCTGAATCAATGGATATTCTCCTTCATATGCACCAAATATTCAATCACATTACATTATTACTGTAACACAAATTGAACTGCAGCCCTTACACAAGCTACAGCTGCCCTCAAGTTAGCAGTACTTCATTACAATAATCAATGGGACATCACAATGCCTAGAAGTACACATCTATATGCTCAATTTGTTTCTAAATTGAAAATTATGGACTGCAGAAACCCTTAATTTGGCCCAAAATCTTCTAAGTAGAGGAAAATGTTCAAATGGAAGAAGTATTAGCATTACGAAAACTGACAGAAGAAAGAGAAAGACAAATTTGCCCTTGCAAAAACTGATATGCTGTAAAAATCCTGCCAAAGTTAGCTTCAAGCTGTCCACTTCCAAGTGTCCAAGCGTATTAGAGAAAGCATTTTGGGTGAGTCTTCCCTGTCTTGTAAACTACACAGAATGGACTACTTGCAAAAGTCTGTTTCTTCCCTTGTCATGTCTCTGATAGTTTGCCTGCTTCAGGGCTTACTCCCAAAATGTCCTGCTGAGCAGTCCTACTGCTGGCCAGCAAAGCTAGTAAGATCATGCTTATCTTTATCCAAAGTCAGGGGCCAACTCAAATGCTTAACACAAAGTATCTGCTCAAGTGATTTCCTGTATCTGGACCAAAGTACCTGGGTAATCACTTTGATCAAGGAATCTAAAGTTTTATCTAAAGATGTTTGTGATTTTTAACTTACTAGTACCTAAGCACTGTTCCCCAGCCCAAATGAACACTTCTGGTGAACTGAACAGCAAATTTCCCTGAGAAAGGACTTCATAATAATGCTTACTCTAAGCAGACAAATGATGAAATATGAATCAGAAGGCAAGACAGTTCCCAAGTACTACAATGTGACCTGTGTCAGAGAGGAACCGGTACCTAGACGTAGACTAGAGTGCACGTGGCTTGTATAACATGTGCCTTGTAGGCACACATCTCATGTAAAATGGGTCCCACATTCTTCCAGGTAGGGAAACAACACCCAGGAGCATCTAGAATCCAGTGCCTGATAAAACTGATTTTGAGCACAACTGATGTCCTTCTTTTCATGACCTAAGTTTGGTGAACTGGCCTGCCTGCACTCAGTACAAGCAACATATGCCAAATTGAGAGTCAAAGATTATCATCACCAAGGACTACATTTAATGCAGGTTCTGTGGTTACTGTTTTTTTGGCAGATATTGAAACATCACTCTTTTGGGGTTGTACAAACCATTTTTCTCTAATACTCTACACAATCTGAACATGTGCCTTCCTTATGAAGACACCAGCAGCTAACATGCAGAAACCGTTCCTTTTCACTGGTCAGAGATAAACCCCCAAAGCCCCAAACTCTGATTCCCATGAAATTTAGCATGCAATTTGACTGTTTTGTGATCTAGTAGAATGTTTGTTCATTCGTCATAGTTTCTGAGCCAAAGTTCACCACTGGCATAGTTAATGAAGTTGCACTCACTTCTGGCAGCAGTGATTTCCAATAAGAATAGAAGTGTTGAAGTCACTCAGCACTTCTGAAAAATCAGGCCACTCCTATTTAGGAACCTAAATGTGGATTTAGAAACCCAGCTTCAGGCACATGAGCATGAAAATACTGTAGTCTTGATTTGTAAGGTATTATACATCACGTTTTGCTGCCTCAAGTGTTCTCCATTTTAAAACAGCATCGCCTGTCCCAGAATGAACACTAGAGGGAACCTTTGCCTTTGCTGGCTCTGACAGCACACTGCAGTCTTTGCAAAAACGCTATCTACTGGTGCTCTTATTACACACTTCAGTGTGAATCCTGTTCTCAAAGACATTGCCTGCAAAACACATTGTTCAGGAGTCAAAGGTTGGGCAACCACACATTGAAACACTCAGAGGTAATGATCTGTCAACGAGGTGTATTTAGGCTGCTTGGATATTGCCTGACAAATGCCTGTTGTGCATTACTGAATATGTTCAGCATATTTATTACTGCCTGACAGATCTAACTTTCATTGACAACTAACCTCTTAATCTAGAAAAGGAGTTTCTGCAGTGAATTTACACCTCCCACATTTGCCAGTTTCACTTCTAACGCTCTTTTGCACATGTTTTTTGTCAAATCAATACTATAATTTTAGAAGTTAACGAAAAGCACACAAGGCACAGTACTGCATTACAAATACACTAGAAAACTCTTTGTTCTTCCTGGTGTTTTTCTTTTTTTAAAAAACAAAATGACAGAGATAAAAGTTCACAAAAACATTAGGTAAAGAAATACTTACGCTCTCACTCTGAAAAGGGTTTAGGAAGTTTCCACCCATCTCACCATCATCCCTTGGAGTGCCAGGCTGATTACTCATGCTCATATTACTGGGAGAGTTCTGTTAAGTAAGATTTTAAAATACAGAGTAAGTGTTGAAGAGTTAAACTCATTTCCCAGCTCCAGCAAGTGTGCCCAAGGCACACTTCACACAATACTGCAGCGCACTAACATACACTGTGCAATGCACTGAGATTTTCAAAGATGAAGCATAACTCTGTGCAGAGTTATGCATGATTCAGTCACCAATGTTAGCCTGTAAAGCAATGTTTTCTTCCCTGAAGCAAGAATTATTTACCTGTAATTCTTGTTTTCAGGTTATAGCCAGCACCTGCTCCTACTGAAGCCAGGAAAAGCTATAAATGGCTGCAGCAGGTATAGGAGGTAGCTCTGCCACTATACTAAATCACATGGTCAAATTCAATGATGACTTGGAGTGTTTGCCTTGACATATGTGACTTATGTACTTAAAGGCAGACATACAGTTGGACCTGGTCTGCACAGACTTTTGCCAAGGCCCGTGCCTGGGGTCATCGTTCAGAATGTTCACAGCTTACTGAAATACCTTTTTTTTTTTTTACAGAAATGCACAACCACCTCTGCAGTGTTCAGAAAACGCTTTCAAGCTTGAGTATTTAAAGGAAGGGTGAAATGGAGTAATTGTCACAGAAATTATTCTGAGTCAATAGCTAATAGATGATCATTGTAGGCACTGTAATTAGTTTGGCGTTTTTACAAAGTTGATTTGCAGTACCCTACCATGCCTGGAGAATGGGCAATTCTCTTTCCTCCACTGCTAAGACTCCTACTTACAGAGGATTTGTGATGGAAAAGGAGCAGTCCAGGAAAGGGGGAAGTCATGAACTTCATTATGAAACATTTATGTCTGTCACAGTTCTTCCCCTTCCTTTTCTTTTATCCAGGAAGAATGAAATATTAGTATTGAGATTTTACTTATACAAATGCAAATTTAGTATGTCACAATGAATTAAACAGAAACAGAGTGCAGTCAATGGGCAAGCTAATAAAATGCAACTCCAAGTAGTGATCTTGATCAAAGTGACCAAATCATAATGGCTGTCAGAATCCTAAGTCAATCTGTTGTCTTTTTCTTATGTTATTCTCAATTACAATCCTGGCACAGCATGTCTGTCAGCAGAGATTTAAAGGAAAAAAACAACTCTGGTGTTCTGCACTTTGAAAATATCTCCATGCAGCCTTCATTTAGTTTAATGAAATTTGCAATAGGTCAAACTTTGACAAATTTGAAACATAAAAAAAAACAGAGAGAAAGTTGCCGTAATTTCTTGGCACCTTCCTCAGAACTACAAAGGCTATCTATCCTACCCTGGCACTTTAAAGACATACAGTGGAGTGCTCACTTTACAGAAAATGGAATGAGATAGCTATGACTTCTAGTTCCCCTTCACACCATACTTCTTCATGCTTCTCATTGTAGTCATTAAGTCCCAAGTTGACCACTGTCCATAGCTTAAATATTACAACATATTCCACTGTTACACAGATCTACTTCATCTCCACAGAGAACAAAAAGCGTTGTTCTCAGCTTCACCAAAACCCACAAATTAAACCACCTGCTTTTTGCTGTTACATTAGCAGACTGGTACACCCAACTGCTGTGCATACTGTTCACTTTGTGATGTGTTTTGTGTCATTAGTGAATGGCTGCTGTCAAGTTTTCACTATATTCTCTTGAGGCAAGATCACCATTCTAACTCTGAATGGCCAAGTATCTATATGGGTTCAGCTCTGTGCATTTATTTTCAGTTACTGATTAAATATTAATTACTTACATGCATGCATAACTTTTTATTAGCATCTGAAATTTCCCTTGTTTTCTTCAGTCTAGTTCACTACTTCTGAAACTGTGATCCTCAGAACTCCAGGAATCACTGGACAACATGTCCATCAAAGAAAAGACTAACTAGTTGGGTTAACATCAGAGAATTAAGTTTGCTGTTCAGTGAAGGTAGTATACCAAATATTTAGCAATCCACAGCTTGAAAGAGGTTGCAAACTATTGCTTTAGTTCAACCACAGCTACTGTACCATAAGCAGGAATTAATTCAGAGAAGTCCTATTGCCTATTTTATCCAGGAGGTCATACTACACAATCTAATCAGTCCATTCTGACCTTAAAGTCTATGAGTATAAAGTTTAAAATCCACTAAGACCCTGTCACATTTATTTCATATAATGCTCCCACACTTTTCTTCATTCTGGGGGGATTTATCCCTACTTTATCTTGCTCTGTGTGGCATGAAGCTTTGAAATTCTGCAGTCGCTACAGTATGCCAACCCCAAAGGTTCAAATTCCTGACATAAGCACTTTTATAGTAACTCCCCTGAGCTGCTTTTATGGTCAGTATGGGGTCTAGCATTGTAGCACTAACTGTGTTTTCCCAGAGCAAGTAGGTCTTTGATGCCAGCACAAATTCCATGGGCACTGCAGAAAACACTGGTTATTAATGTTTATTTAATATCCATAATTTCAGTTCATTTACTTCCACCATCACAATCTAATTCATAAGAACTTCATGTTTTGCCCTTCAGCCAGTTAAATTAAAATCTCTAGAAAATGTAGCTCTGAATTGTATGAGCTGTACTGATTCTCCTAAGACTGGATTAATTTTCTGCATCTCCTGGGAACTGATAATCTGCTCCTCTAACACGTATTTTACTCCACTGAAGTCCTGTGCCTGGACTGGAGCATCACACACCCCAAACCATGTTAACTTCAGTGAATGACTTCCACCACTGGAAATCTACTTTGTGAAAAAGCCAACTGCAAGACTAGCCAGTGACGTATGCAGGGAGACTGTTGCCTCAGCAAGAACAATCCTGGTAACTGTGTACAAAATTGGAAGGCAGCCACATAATGATTTTGTATGCATCAGCTCCAGAAATCTAGTATTTCTTGCAAGCAGAACTTTTCCATTCAAGTTTCAAGATCATTATGTACTGTTACCTGCCCCAAATTACCAGTGCTACCCACGCACTTCCAATACTACCAATGAAGGCTGCGTATTGGGCAGTGCTACTCAGGAAAAGATATAAAGGTGTTACAGGACAACTCTGTTCCTTTCAAAGTTAGCAGCATTATTCTTTTAGTCGTTTGAAAAATAGATGCTCCAAATGCAATTTCGCCGAGTTGTTTATTGAGGTTAATAGATTACTGGACTTCAGGGTGAATTTTTGGATCCAAATTTTCAGAACTCCTGATACTTGTTTTAGGCCATATACTGATACTTATTACTAGTGAGTTGAATACAGGCTTTAAAAAATAATCCTGTGGTGAGCTAATGGAAATGTTTTGCATTTTTCCTTAAAAAAATGCTGCAGTTTGCAATAAAAATATTGAAGAAAAAGGCACACTGATTTTAAAAGTGCTGTATGTTTATTATCTCATCGGAGGGTTTTACTGAATCCACCACTGCACAGCTAAGGCAACATGGTCATTTCAATCCATCATTTGACTCTTTGCAGAGCCTGAAAATGTTATAGATCTTAAAAATGTAGAAAAAAATAGAGGACTGCTACAGACACTGCTCCCTCACAGGAGCAGCAACGGCCTTGGAAATGTATTTCTGAGGTCCTTCTCTTCAGGAAAGATACATGCTAAGCACACTTTCCAGGCTACCCCTGATGCACACCTCACCACCATAAGACCACAAACTGGGGAACTGTACATGGTCCTCCTCGGATATACAAGTACATATCACTAAGTGAAGAATGATTTCTGCCTTTTGAACACCTGGAAGTGTATTCTCAACAAATTCATGCTACAACCTTCTGTGTTAACCCACAGGAATTTAAGGCAGCATATTGTTCCCTGCTTGTTGGCATCTCACCACAGCTCCTGAGAAAAGACCTACAGCAAGGTCCCTAGCGTGACCTGGGTGTGTGCAGACCAGCCTTGGAAAGATGTGACATGGCAAAGTCTGCACTGGGAGAGGTCTAGTGACAGCATGGTGGTACTCGGTACTGGCGCAACCAAAATACACCATCAGCTGATGTGCTCAAAACAAACTCACCCGCCTTTCTTGGAAGACTGTGAAGGATTTTGCTACAAACAAATGAGTTATAAAACATGAACTGAAACTATCTCTCCACCAGCCTCTGTACTTATAGATGGAAAGCATGACAGTGCAGGGAGATTGCTGTAGTAATATATTTGTTTCAGTCAGTCATATCTGAAGATGGGGAGTACAAAACATAGGGGTTTGCAGAGGGTGGATGTATGACACTTCATCGATACCAAATAAGCTCATTAATGCCTAAGTTAATGATGGCCACATATGTAAAAGTTTTATTTTTATGGAAGAAGTGACACATTCAAGCACAGAATTATTTTTGTAGGTGCAAGACCCCTGCAGGTTACGTTCACATTCATTCCCAACTACTTAATGACTGTGATATCAAAATAGTGCTGCTTCTGAAACTACTCCTTAATCTAGCTTTTAGGAACTTATACTAATGATTAAGATATTAACATTGCCTTACAGAGGTGACAAAAGCAATCAAGCAGTGCATAAATATAAGATCCTAATGACATTTACCCAAATTTACATTTAACGAGAATTGATTATTAGAACTATATATATTTGTCTTAATGGTATGGAAGATTATAACATGATAAATCAGATTATGAACTGGATATAATTAATCACATCTATTAATACACATTATTATGTAGTAGGGAATAAGTCTGCTTACACTACCTATTGATTATATTTTAAAAAAAATTCAGATAACACAAATTCTGTCTGCTCAGCCTCCAAAGAACTGACAAGCAGAAAATGTAGATGCATAACAAAAAGCTTCCTAACAGAGACTAAATATGCTTAGAGTGAAACACTCTACAATTCTAATTATTTGATTAGATACTCACTTTGGAAATACTGTCCATGTCTCCTGAGCCTTGAATGAAAATAGACAATTATTCAGTTAGTTTTGAGCTGAAGTTAATAAGGATTTTTTTCATAGTCAATATATAGTGCAACAGAAATATTTTAAGACATAACCAATGATGTGTCATCTTACTTTTCAATGTCTCTCTTAGCAAAGGTTTACCGTCAGTACTGAATAATGTTAATCCTTTATCTGTGTACACACTGGCGCAAGAAGTGAGAAAAGAATGAAGGATGCCCATAAGAGAGAACCCAGCCCAGCTCAAGACACCGTATGTCCAACCTCCCCGTCCTCCTAGCCATGGTAGGGTGCAGGTAACGGAATTAATTTGGGGTATATCCACCTAGGGGAAATACTGCTTCAGCTTGTGAAAAGAAAAGCAAAATCCTAGCTAACTCATGAAAGTTAATATTCCTAGGTGAAAAAAGACCACTATCAACATTAAAGTCAGCTGGGAGCATTCATCAAAGTCTTTGCTCCCAGAAGCAGAAGCCTACTACTGATACTGGCGGAAATGACATCAACTTTTGAGTCATTACAAATACTGATGATGACAGTATCTTTCAGAAGAAAGCAGATGATCATCAGGACCTAAGTAACAGAAACCTACTAAAATTCAGTACAATGAGCGTATGACTATTTAAAAAGGTTTTATTAACATGCTGCAGCTTTCACTCAGGTAAAGCCAAGGATAAAGAAAATATAACTTGAGAATGGATGTATCAAGAAAAGCATTTTTAGCTGCAAGAGACAGTAAACAATTCTGGTCACCTGTTTTCAGGAAAGAAATTCTAGATGAGTACTGAATACAATACTCAATACAATCAATTGTGGGAGGAGACTGAAATAGCTTACTATACTTAGCCAGGCAAATTAAGGCTGACAAGGAATATAGTTTCTCTCTATATATACATCAGATATATAAATGTTATGAAGAGTTATTCTGTCATGGCTCAAAGGATAAATTTTGGTGTAAATCAGGAGAAGATTTCTTTCTAACCATGAGAGCTATGAAAAGATATCCAACAGAAGGGTTCTGGTCAAAGAAGTTGGAGAAGTTCAAGATGGACCTTGACCAATTTATCTATCTCATTATGAGACACAACTGCCTGCTGCAGCATGGAAATGAGTACAGCAGATCTCTCCCAGCCCTCTTCTCCTTAAAGAACTCAGGTTCCAGTTTAGATATGAAGTTACTCCTAAAAAGCAGCCAACATTAATTTGACTAAGCACTTAATCATTTTCACTAGAGAAAATAACTAACCAAATGCTAGGTACATATAAAATCCTTCAATAACTGTTTCAATTTTTTTTTTTTTTTTTTAATTTTAGCTAAGAAATAATTCTCAGGGTATAAGAACTGACAGAAAAAGATGTGATTACCTTTTACACAGCTTTCCATTTATTTGAATGTAATGCCCCTAATTATTAATTAAGGCAACAATCCATTTTAGGATTGTAATATATAAAGAAAGGTTGCAAGAACACAAGGTGTCCTTATGCAAAGCAATCTAGGATCAGGGACATGCTTTCCTAGAAAAAAAAGATCATTTTATTAGGAGGTAGATGCCTACTGCTGGATTTTGATTGTTCAGAACATGTCTGCTAAATGATGTTTGGTGGCTTAGTTTTTTTTCTCACCTTGCCATAGTCTCTTCAAACTTTTCCTTTTGCCCAAATTGTTTACACTTCCTGTCTCACAACCTCCAACTTTTGGAGGAGTGATAGATCTACACCCACCACGGCAGTATGGTACAGAGTTTAGACTGGTCCATGGCTGTGCTAGGAAGGTGACAGAGCTTTTCTTGGGGGATAGAAGCAAGGTGAACACTGGCAGCTCAGGTTCTGCCTGCCTGACTTGTACCTAGCTTGCTTGGGTTTATACTCATAAAGTA